TAGTTTTGTCCTTACTTTGCATTTAATGTTCCAATAAATTCTTAGTTGGTTAAGTAATAATGAGGAGGTATTTTTGGTAAAAATGTTATTTATTTTTGACAAAATTGCAGAAATGGTCCCTGTGATATACATTTTTTTGGGGTTTTGGTCCAAACCATGAGTTTTTTGGCTTCGTGGTCATTTTGGACTGGTTTGTTTGTGAAAATGGTCCATGTAATTAACTCCCGTTAAAAAACAATCCGTTAACCCCCTCATGTGCCTTCCATGTGAGGGTATTTTCGTCTTTTTATCTCTAGGGACCATTTTTGCATAAGAAAAAATAAAACCCTCTTTATCTACCATTTTTTATTTCCAGCTTCTTCCCCAGCTTAGTAGATTCTCACGGCCGATTCCAACGGAGATTGATTCAGGTGTTCTTCCTACTCCGAGGCGCAAGTTTGTTAACACCGTGAGGGGTTCAGATTTCCCGGAAATTAGTCTTGATGATCTAGCAATTGAGTTTTTCTCGGGGAAGGATAACAACTCTGAGGTAGATGATGAGAGTGGAAGCAGTAGAAGCAGCCGGCCTGTTCGTGTGAAGTCTGAGATTAGTCCTGTACTGGGTTCGTCTCAAAGGCGTGGAAGGTGTGTCAAGGCGTAACGATGATACTGCTTCTAATGCTGGTGGTACAATTAGAGTCGTGCAACAAGCTGAGATTAGTTCTGCAACACCTTCGTCTCAAAGGCGTGGGAGGTCTGTGTCGAGGCGTAACGATGGTACTCATTCTAATGCTGGTGGTACTACTAGGCCTTTTCCAAATGTTGATTCAAGGAGGAGGCGGTCTGTATCAGATGCACGGTATCAGATTAGTGATTCCGAGGTATATTTTAGTTTGGACTTGATTGTATACTTTTATGTGTATGCTGAGTATCTTAGATGGAATCTCACCTAAATAAGAGTAAAGTAGAATTCTCAATGAAATCTATGACCCATTGATCTGAAGAAGTGGCATTTAGAGGCATTAGCTTTGAAAGTATCTCTATTTTTGTTCATTGTCATATGGAGCCATGAAAAGTGAGAAGACAAGCAGATCATGGAAAACTGCTTTGGTTGGCCTTGGAAGAACAATTGGTTTTCAGACGAACCCAGTACACGACTCTAATTGTACCACAAACAATGTTCTTTATAAAATAGTGTTGTTTGGTTTTAGCTATGTTGTTTGTGTGCATTCCAACTGAATTTACGTTCTTCTCAGCATCCAACTTTTAAATCTTTTGATGGTTTTCAGTTGACCTTGATTGTAATGTAAGTGGGATTCATATTTTGTTCCATTATCTGGGAAATGTGTTTAAACATCTATTCAAATCGGGGAATAACAGTAGTTGGGGAAGAAGCTGAAAATAGAAAATGGTATATAAAGGGGTTTTTATTTTTTCTTATGCAAAAATGGTCCCTAGAAGTAAAAACACAGAAATACCCTCATGTGGAAGGCACATGAGGGGGTTAACGGATTGTTTTTAACGGGAGTTAACTACAAGGACTATTTTCACAAACAAACCAGTCCAAAAGGACCACGAAGCCAAAAAACTCGTGGTTTGGACCAAAACCCCAAAAAAATGCATACCACAGGGACCATTTTTGCAATTTTGTCTTTATTTTTAGAAGTAGACTATTATTTTGGAAAAACCAAAAAGGAAAGATGGACTATAATTTTGGGACGGAGGGAGTAATAATCATGCAGATGTGAAGGACCTTATGTTTGACTATGAAGTGTAGAAAAAGATGGTGAAATAAAATTAAGCCAAATTCTACAGCTTTAGATATCTAAGTCAAAGTCTGTATGCTCTGGGTGGCTATCCCCGTGTTTTGTTTTCACAGAAGTCTGCTCCCATTGAGTATAAGGAATGCATGAATATTGAGATGCTGATCAACTAATAAGTCGATACAATTGGTCGAATTATAATCTAGACTTGTTAATTGTGTTTTCTCCATCAAAGAATCAAAGATAAAGGGTGCTTAGAAGAACAGTTCCTTGACAGTTTGTGTAACTGTCCCATGAGTTGTTTTTCCAGGTGTTAAATTTAATGCAACAACAATAAAACATGGAGAAATTAAGGAGTAACAATTACATACCAAAGTGATCTGCTTCCACACATTTCTGGAGAACCCAACTGCGATTCTGATCTGTCCAGCCATATCTAGACATCTGCCCAGATTTATCATACAGATAATTAACCATCTTACTTCGTCCAAATAAAGAAGCCATGTAGAGTGGCATCATTCCATTACTACCAGGGATATCCACCAGGGCCGGGTTCTTGTCCAACAAAGTCATAACAATTTTGACATTTCCAGCTGCTGCTGCTAAGCACAGCGCAGTGTTGTCATTTTTATTGGTAAGTTCTAACTGTTTCTCTGTCATCATAGTCACTAGATTTTGTACAAACTTATCCACCGACTTGCTGTTTTTTGCAGATGCTGCAATGTGAAGTGCAGTATCATAATTTTCAGTGATAGCATACTCCACCAGAATTAGATCTTTATGTTTCCCAAAAATGACTTGGGCAGCTTCCCAATCACCAATGCTTGCTGCATTATAGAGAGGAGCGCAAATTCTGATGTACTGCTCTCTATTTCCTATAATATAATTGACAAAGAAATGTTATTAAAACAGTTTTACGAATAAGAATTTGTGATTGAGGCAGATCATGCTGCATCATAAACTGCTATAAAACAGGGCTAATAGATAGCAATATAGGCTGCCAGAATAAAACCATTATATCATGTAATTAACAACATACCAAGTAGATCTCCACATGGGAGTTTCTGATGGAATGATGATTGAGGAACATATGAACTGGTTGAGGGTTTTGTGACCGACTCCTGCTGCCTGATAGGATTTATATCCTCTATTGAACCCATGGGTGTGCTTTCGGGGTTCATTTCCTGCACCTGCGCAATTACACTTTTAGTAATGGTATCATATCCAAAGACTAGTAAATTTCACTACAAGTTTCCTAATGAACCTACGTCTCTCTCATTTGAATCTAAATGTGGGCTTGCGGCCTTCATCTTGGGCACCTGCATATATAACGACACTATTAGTAGCTGAAATCAGAAAAGGAGACCTGGGGATAGTATTTGGAGCCAGTGAAACTACCTAAAATCAAACGACTAGCTACCAACTTTCACTTAACAAATTTGTATGTATTTTTTGGTAAGTAGGAATGGAAGAGTTCAAGACAAAGAACCGCATGTATATATGCAGAATTAGATGGGTTAGGTGAAGATGTGTTTTTTTATAAGAAGTATAATACAAAAGTCAAAAGTCTTTAATTAATATACATTTGCCAGCAAACACTGTATTTAAATAACTAGGCTAATACATTTTCAAATGTTACACTGAATATAATAATATAATTAAAATATAGATAAACAAATGATATTAAAAAAATAACTATATCCTCCTTTGAAATATTAATTCATTATCAAACATTCACATAGTTTTAAAATAAAATTTCACAATTAGTCCATGTGATTTTTAAGAAATGGCAACTTGAGAATAACGATGAAAGTTGTAGAAATGGCAACTTGAGAATAACGATGAAAGTAGCTACAACGCTAGTCCTTGTGGTTTCAAAACGATAAAGTTTTATCGTTAATCCCTCTTTCATTAAATCTAACTATTGATTTGTCAATATTTTTATATTATGACCAATATACAAATGGATGGAAAATCAACAATTTTAATAATTTTTATTCTTTAATCATATCAAACACCGTTATATTCATAAATGAATATGAGAGGACTATATATATATATATATATATATATATATATATATATATATATATATACTAGTTTATAACCCGTAGGAACCACAGATTATAAAATTAATTAAACTTTCGTAATAAAAATTTATAATTTATATATGACTATATTCAATAATGATTAAACAATTTCAAAAGAAAAAAGTTACAAAATTCATCCCTATGTCAAGCCTTGTTTTAATAAACCACAACCCTAATTCTTCCATTTGAATCAAATCGTACTAACATATAATTTTTAATTGGTAATCATCTCTAAAGAACAATAAATATTGTGTAATTCACAAGCTTGTTTAACGAGTAGTACTGATAAATATTGTGTAATCCGCAAGCTTATTTAATGAGTCGTAGTCATACCTAACAAATCTCAGCATCCCTTTTCTTTGATCAATATCTACAAAATGTCGATAACATGTAAAATTACTATTTTAACTTTGCAAACTAAATATCAAATAAAATCTACTACTTAGAAATAAGTTTAAAAACAAAAAACATTTAAAATTAACCATCGTTTTCAAATCAAAATGCGAATGGGAATATAATTCAACGCATATAGAAAGAAAAAGACAAAATTGCAAAAAATGGTATTCGGGTTTCGGTCTAAAACCTATTTTTTTTTGGATTTGTGGTCCTTTTGACCATGTTTGCTTGTGATTTTGATTCCTCGGAAAATTGAAAGACTAAAATGCTTTATGATAGACCTTTTATGTGTTTTCTATTTAATATAAAGGAAAAAGAAAATAAAAATTAATTTTGGCCCATATATATATATATATATATCTCATTGGATAGCATATCACATATAGGAACATCATTTTTGTTGAAATGCTTGACCAAGAAATCAAACCTAATGTAGTCACATATATACACAAAGTCGATTCGAGCAGTAGGAATGGAATGAGGGAAACAGATTTGGGTGTTTTGAGGGATGGTTGGAGAAGATGAAGATGGATATATATATATATATATATATATATATATATATATATAATATAATCTAGAGAGAGAGAGAGAGACGAGAGTGAGGACGAGAGAGATAGGTTCAGGTATTCTAACTAAGTATTGTATTATGTATGCATGATTGTGGACCAATCAAAAATTAATAGAAAAAACAATAATTAAATAAATCAATAAGGGTAACTAGGTAATTTGAGAAATAACTTCCACAAATACTCCCTATAATTTTGCTAGTTACGTTGATTTTAACCTAATTCCCCCCTTTTATATACGACTTACGACTGACTGATCAATCTTCATCACCGGTGTAGGATCAATCTTCATCACCGGTTGAAGACTCCTTCACGCCGACCATCCAATCGGCTACTGACCTAATTTCCCGGCGACGATGAAGAAAATACTGAAGAACCCCACTCCCGCCGTTGAAGATGCCATCACCAAATCCAAAAAGAGAACACGAAAGGTCTCCCAATCAAAACCGCAACCAGTGTTTACCATCGGCGACACCATCGATGGTATTAATTATTTTCCCATGTCTTGGCTTCAAACTTCCATCTAAGCATGAATAATTTTAGGGGTTTTAAACTTGGTTTGAATCCGAATTGGATTGAAAGATTTGTTTAGTGGGCAGTAGGCAAGTTGGCTTTCAATTAGAACTGATAAGAAAGGGTTTCAATTAATATATTAGACTTAGACTTTTAATTTTGAGTTGTTTGACTATATTTCATTTTTAGTTATGTTTGAATTAGAATTGTACAAGTCTAGAACGAACAGTAGTAAAATACATAGATGCTTTGATGCTTCTTTCATTTGGAATTAATTTGTTTATGTAGATGATTCAATGGATGATATTGTTGAGATTCCAGTTCTATTGGAATGGAATTACGAATTCCAATTATGTTGGAATGGAATCATGAATTCTAATTCTGTTGGAATGGAGTATGGATATTTTCTCACTGATTTATGCATGTTCTACAATTCTTGTTTATTGGTTTTGGTGCAATTCACAAGTCCACATCTTTTTCCAAAGGAATTTAGTTTTTTATTTTTCATTTGCTAATGCATTATTGGAATCTAAACTACAATTTTGTTTTGTTTTCACAGAAGTTGATGCTTGAAGAACGGACCACAAAATTGAAAGTGATTCTAAGCAAGATTATTCTTTTAGAATGAATTAGTGTCGTTAGATTTTGATGTTTTCTTTCCCGTTTTGAAAGTTTTTTTAGTTTTATTCTTTAACAATAAATGTAATTCTTAACAATTGTTACCCGTATTCTATAAGAAATAATGTATTTTTTTTTATTCGTCAATTGATTGTTCAAGAATTTGTTATTCTACAAGAAGTTTTTAAAGTCATGATCAAGAAATAGGTTCAAGAATATTTTTATTATTTATGGTTCAAGAATATTTTTATTTTTGAATATACTCATAAACATATTCTGTCAGAATGTCCGAATTAAAAAAATTATAATTCGTAAAATCGGATTTTTAAAATTAATAGAATCTATGATCCCTAAAAAAATGCAATTTTCCTTTATTAAATCTATATTAATTGACTAAATTACCCTTGTAATTAATTAAGATGATATTTTTCAATTATATTTAATTCAATAATATATATTAATCACTTTCTTAAAATAAGTAAATTTGATTGGCCTACAATTATACATACAATAACACAATAATTATTTTGAATAGAATAACATAAGCCTATATATATATATAATATATATATATATATATATATATATATATATATATATAATATATATATAGAGAGAGAGAGAGAGAGAGAGAGAGAGAAATAGAGAGAGATGTGAGTCCAAATTAATTATTTTTTCCTTTAAATATAATAGACAAACATAAAATGTATATCAAAAGGGCATTTGAGTCTTTTCCGTTTTCCAAAAAAACCAAAATCACAAGCAAACATGGTCAAAACGACCACCAATCCAAAAAAAAGTTGAGACTTTGACCAAAACTTAGAAAAAATATATACCATATTGACCATTTTTTCAATTTTATCAAAAAAGAATTACGATTACGTGCCAAAAAGAATTAAAATAAAAAATAAAGATGAAGTATAAACTTATATAGTCAAAAAGCAAAGAAGGAATCACTTGTTTTTTCTTTCTAATGTATGTGTGTGACACCCAAACCCAATTATAGCCTTTTATATATATATATATATATATAATATATATATATATATATATATATATATATATATATATATCGCATATGTTTGTGGTGGCAAGAAAAAAAACTATTTGTTTTTTAATGTTCGCAAGCTATTGAATAAACTGAAATTTAAATAAACCGATTTTACAAACATAAAATAAAATAGAGTTTCAACATTGAAATTTAAATAATTATAATCTAACAACATTGAAATAAAATAACAATCGTAGTTCAAGACTCCGTTTATTAAACGTAGTTTATTAATTTATACTTTTTTATAAGCTTTTTTAAAACTTTTTTAATAACTATTTGAGACTAAATTACAAACCTTATAAAAAAATACAATCTAATGATGCTGAAAAAAAATACAAGTAAAAAGTTTTAAAGATTTAGACGTTATAAAAAAAATATAAGTAAATATGTTTAGAAGAAATTTAAGTTGTATAGGGTTTACCATGACAAAGTTGTTTTTAACGAGACACATAGTATATCCCATCCTCATTAAGGATTGATGAAATCTATCATACCCCGCTAAAGCGGAAATACGAGGTACAACAAAACAAAGGGTCTCATTGCGAAAGTTAAACGACAACACCAACCATATTATTAAAAAACATTACAATTTACAATAAGTTTTGAACACTTTTAAAGAAGTTACATTACATTCGAAAAATAACACATGCATAATGCTTAGACAAGTGATGTGTCCCTAAGTGTCATCTTATAGATGAGTTCCTGAAAAAACATGTAAAATGAGTGGTCAACTACCGAAATAGTTGGTGAGTTCACAGGTTTAAAACATAATATAGTTTTATATCATGAAAATCCAAATATTGATAAAGGTTTCCATAAATGGAAGTTCGTTGCTAACATGAGAAATAAAGTCTGTTGCTATCATGAGAAACAAAGTTCATAGCTAACATGAGAAATAATTTTCGTATGTGAATAGTGATCAAACCATGAGTTCACAACCAAACCTAACGACCAAGGGTGCCATCTTGAAATCTATGTCTAGCGCTAACATAGAGACATAATGTAATATGCACTCCACGCAACGGGCGAGTGGGGAATTGTCTACCTCCTAATAGAGTTATCCATAATAACCATCAGCTCAAAAGAGTTAATGAGTTATGTGAAACATTCATGGACTTGATGCGATAAGGTCTCATGAATCAACATTTGCATACACATACATAGAAATCACATTTGATATAATCTAAAACAAGTAAAATGAACATATTTGATTATACATGTTTTTCCACCCCAAGACGTAAAAGCTGGAAATACAGGTTA